AGTGTTTTTCTGCACTGGAACTGAAGTAGTGCACGTTTGTGTTGGTGCACAATGTTCATGAGTTCCACAGTGGAAGGACAGAGGGAGGTGTTTTATTTTGCTCGTCTGAAGCAGTGCAGAGTGACGGATCCTGGAGAGTGGAGGGACACATTTTATCCACCACCAGGTGCAGTGGTGGAGCCAGGGGGTGGCCAGTGGTGGCCACCTCCATTTTAGCCTCTCTTTGGGGGGCTCAAGTACCTCTAAATTTTAATTCAACGACCCTGAAAAATTAAAACCCATCATTAGGATTTTGTAAGGACACGCAGTTCTCAAACCTTAGATTCACCAAAATATTGAATAAATATGGAATAAATGATGACGGTCTTAAACGGGTCAGTAAAATCTATGATTATTTTTGCACGAGTCAGAACCTCGATGCTACCTGTCAGTCAGTCCAGCAGGCTTGTCAGCAACTGACCAATCGGTAATCTCAATTTGTCCCGAAGTGAAACGCCCCTTACCTGCAGGAGCTCCACCCAGTCGAAGAGATTTCATGAAAAATCATCACAAAAATGTTTAAACGTCATCAGAGGAGAACATGTAATTCAGACTGTGTCACCCTGAGAGTTGGAATACAGTTGATTAAATTTCAAAACCTAAACTGAGTCTGGAAAAATGTAAACGATGATAAAGGCCTGCGGCCGACCTCATGATCAGCTGAATACAACAGTGATACACAGGAAGTAGCACACGTTCATCTGTACGAAGGTAACTTCAGGTAAATCCTCCACTTTCTGTCATAATGATGATGATTAATGGTTAAATTAAAGGTTAATGCTTAAAGCTAGTTGTGATTTGTTTTGTGTGTTTTACATGTAACTTGTTAACTTCTGGTTGCATGAATTTAGTCTTTGTTTGTTATGATCAGTTAACACTAAACGGACTTTGTGCAAAGCGTTTATCAGGTTGTGTAATGTAAAGCGGAGCGGTACATCTGTAGCATCTTAGCTAGTATCTGCATTACGCGCCGCTAGCTTAGCGCTACCTCTTGTTGCTCACTAAAAGAGTTATTGAATCAAGTGTTTACTTATGGAGGTAAATGTAGATGTTTAACAACCCGTTAAAATTCACCATAATGCAGGAAATGGCTTCTACTTTATTTAAAATTTTCTAGAGGAGGACCCGCAGACTCCCCACCAGTGTGTCCCCCCCACTTTACAAATGCTTTTGACGCCAGTGGCCACTGAGTTGTTCAAGCCAAGATCCGCTGTCAGGGGGCTGAGTACCCCTAAAGGACATTTTCTAGAATCGCCCCTGGACACCTGCCTGTTGAGGTAACTGCTTTTCAGCAAAATAAAAAGTAGAATGCAGAAAACAATCAGGCAATAATCAGGATGAATGCTGGGTTAGGATGCTGACTGTCTAGCTGAGAGTGTCTTTGGAGAGCTGGTGTTTCTGTTGGCAGACTTAATGAGGAGGCAGGAGCAGGTGAGACGGATCTGCTGGACAGGATGTGATGGACACCAAACATGACTCACAACATCTGAACCAGGACTGATCGTCAAATCTGAGATAACTGGACTCAAGCTTGAACTGACACATGCACTTCCCACTGAGCTCCACGGCTCTGCGTGGCCTGTCCACTCACCTGCCACCTCCTGCACACATGACACCTGCAGCTGGAGCCACAGCGCCCCCTGCTGCTCACTGCACGAATATCTGCCACCAGTATGCGCTCAAAATATTTTAAATGGAAAAACATTTGCTGCACATCATATTACAGGATTAAAATTAGAGTTAATAAACGATGTAGTAATTTTTAATCCCATAATTTAGCTGCTCAGAGCTCAGTTTTTGTCTGTCTGACTGAGCATATCGAGATGAAAGTCCACTTTGAGCCTGTTATCTGACCAATCAGGTCTTCTAATCTACACAGATCCATCCAGCCATTATCTTTCACCCGCTTCAGTAGAATAAAAGATTAAAAAAAGGTGGAATTAGCTGAAAAATTTCAATTAGCATAAAGCAGCTATTTAGCTGAAATAGTAGAAAAACTGAAAGGAGCATAACAAGCTGAAATTAGAAGAAAAAAGTTAATTAGACTGAAAGTAGCAGAAATTTCCACAGAAAGTGTGAATTATCTTAAACAAGCTGAATTTAGCAAATAACAGCTGAAAAGTAGCTAAAAAAGCAGAAAGAAGTTTAAGTTGCAAGAAGCAGGTGGAGAGAGCACATTTTTGTTGAATCAGGCTGAAAAATGTTGGAATGAGTGTAAAAATATGGAATAAGCTGAAAAGGCAAAATTAGCATAAAACAGCTAAATAGTAGCTGAACTAGAAAAAGCTGATTTTTGCGGAAATAAGCTGAAAGGAGCATCACAAGCTGAACTGAGCTGAAAGAAGTTAAAAGAAGCACAAAAATGTTGGTGTTAGCAGAAAGGATCTGAAATGAGCACAAAACAGCTGAAAGTAGCTGAAAGAAGCTGAACCAGAACAAAATGTTAAAGGAGCAGTAAAGGTTGTAAACAGATCTAAGCATCTGAACGATGTAAAATGAGCTTTCCTTATAAGTATTTTGTAGCTCTGATTAAGGTTTTGAAAAGAAATGGTCAAAGTTGGAAGGACTAACCAGCTGGTTAAACTAGTTAACACACAGAGAGCCTGGAGCCAGACAGGAAGTGGCCAGGTCCAGCAAGGATGGCTGAGCCACGTTGGCTCCACAGGCTCCGTCTTGGCTGCTATTGATTATTCATTTCTCGTTGACCGTGCACATGAGGGAGAATCAGAGTGCACGTTGACCGTGCAGATGTGGGAGAGTCAGAGTGCACGTTGACCGTGCACATGTGGGAGAGTCAGAGTGCAGAACGAGGAAGGGGAGCTGCAGCACATCCCTTTCATTTGGATCTTAAGTGCTCCTCTCTACGTCCCGAACAGTCGAATGGATCCAGACTGAGACATTTTGAAGAAGAAACACTCAAATATGGAAACTGTATTTTTTTCTGTCTTTCAGCACACAGGGGGGTATGTGAGCATGAAGTGAAACAATTTCAGAGTTTTGTTGGGGCTTTAATTAAGCTAAAGTCTGATGATTGGCCTAAATGACCATTTTGGTAACGATTTCTTTGGATTAATTGGGATTTGAACGTTTTAAATGAACAGTCACAGTTTACGTTGAAGATTATGTGAACAAAGTTTGGAAAGTAGATCATTTGTAATATCACTGAAGAGCCCAGCAGCTTTTTCCTCCTCACACCCCCAAACGCTCAGCAATCACCACGACCTGTCAGCCGCCCTCTGGTTGTCGTGGCGACCAGCCGTCATCATGGAAACAACCCCCAGTGGTTTCTTATTGGTTGAGGGGTTCTCATGCAGGAAGCTGAGATAAGAGTTCTTCCATCCATCCATTATCTACTGGGCCGACTGGCTGAGTGGTTGGAGCAGTCGTCCTCCAATGCAAGAGTTGGGGGTTCACTTCCCCCAGCAGTCACATGCTGAAGTGTCCTTGGGCAAGACACCGAACCCCTCATTGCCTCCGATGTGTGTCCCATCGGTGTATGAATGTGATAAAATACTGATTATTCTTTGTAATTATTCTTTCTTTAGTGGAGTGCTGTATGGATGGGTAAATGAGGACACAGATTGTGTTGTGAAGAGCTTTGAGTGTCTTGATCAGATAGAAAGGAGCTCTAGATAAAAGATAGATATCTTTATGGATAACTGTCTCGTGCTACAAGTACCTGGACGTGGTTCTGGACTGTCACCTTATCAGCACCGAGACTCAGCAGAGGATGCATTTTTTTAAAGAAACTGGGGTCTTTTAGAGTCAATAACTCAATGCTTTAAATGTTTTGTTCTGCTTTTATTGAGGATATTTAACGTTTTGTAACATCTGTTGGTTTGGAAATGCTACAGAGGCTCAGCAGAACTCCTTGAGAAGTATAGTAACCACAGCCAGCGAACTGTAGGGGCCACTCTGACGAGTACGGAACAAATATACACGGACAGAGTTATGAGGAAGGAAAACTAGAAAACAGCAGACAATACACGTCCCCTAAGATCCTCATTTGAGGTGCTTCCTTCAGGGCGAAGGTACTGCCAGGACTTTTTCTTTCATACCACAAGTGATTAAATCATTAAACTGTGAAAAGATATAAATTACTGAGCTCAAACTTGTTTGCCGTTAACGATGGATGTTAATCATGTTTGTTTGTCCGTCATGTAAATGCCTGCTGACAATGCTGCAAAACAATTTCCCTACAGGGACAAATAAAGTTATCTGTCTATATAAGTACAGTCCATTTACCGTTTATACCGGCTTCTTCCTTTTCGGGTCGTGGGGGGGGGGTCACTGGTGCCCATGTCCCGCTATCATCGTGAGAGGCGGGGGACACCTGGACAGGCCTCCAGTCCATCACAGGGACACATAGAGACAAACAAACATTCACTCTCTCACCTAGGGACAATTTAGAGTGACCATGAGTCTAACATGCATGTTTTTAGTCTGTGGGAGAAAACACGCAGCACGGAGAGAACATGCAAACTCCACCCTGAAAGGCCCCCTGGCTGGGATTTTAACCCACGACCGTCTCACTGAGAGGCAACAGTTCTACCAACTGAGCCACCGTGCCGCCAGATAAGAGTTCCTGCCTAGTAAAATATTTTATTTGTTGCTGTTTTGCTTTAAAATCGGCCTCTTTAGTCTAATTTTGGAAACATTTTGTTGGGATATAATGAGTTTAATAATTTTTTAAGGTGTATTTTTGATTTATGATCATCTAAATCTATAAATCTGATTAACCTGTTTATCTCTGGACAAATACAAAAAGTTCCATCAGGCTTCGTCATTGAAAAACACTTTATTTTTAAACCAGCGGTCATTAAAACCATCGCTAAAAAAGAAATCTTAAGGTTTTAATTCTACGACTACAGAAACTTCCTAAAAGAAACGAGTCGTTTGACATCGTGGCGTCTTGTTGGCCGTCTGGACGCCAGAGGCCCGAAAACAGAGGTCGGGCGACCTCATCGACACCCGCACTCGTCCACCACCATGTCCTGGTAGTGGCGGAGCACCACGTTGTCGTTGTTGTCGTAGTAGAGCATGGAGATGGGGGAGAGGCGGACGGGCACGCAGCAGGGCTGAGGCGTGTCCCGGGGGTCCAGCGAGTGCACCAGGGTCTGCAGGATGGCGTGGTTGGTGCTGTTCAGGCTCTCGCTGAGCGGGAACGGGCACTCGCCGTGGCAGTAGTTGGCCAAGTAGCCCTGGGGGGCGATGATCCAGTCCTGCCAGCCCACGTCTTTGAAGTCGATGTAGAGGCGGCGAGCCTTGCACACGTTGCTGAGGCTCACCGGCACGGAGCTCCGCCTCTGCCGGGAGCGACACTGGTCGGGGTTCAAGGACACCGCCACCAGCGAGGCCTGAACCAGTGGGAAGGTGGGGGCTGGCTCCAGTGGGAGGGAGTGTCCAGGATAAAACGGAAGCAGCTCCTCGGGATCTGCGCTGACAGGGAGCAGCTCCAGAACCAAACCGTAATTATGGCCCGGTTTACGCCAGCTCTCCGCCACCGGCGTCAGGTCCAGGGTGACGGAGGAGGACTCCGCCTGCAGCTGGAGCGACTGCGACAGCAGCAGTCTGCGGCTGGCCCGAGGGTCGGCCCCCTTCAAGGTGGCTCGGATCACTGTGTGCAGGGACAAGCTGACGGCCCGGGGGCCCTGCAGGAGGTCGGCGGGTCTGAGGGGCTCCCAGTGGAAGGCGATTTCCAGGCGAGCCAGAGACAGCAGCTCCACGGGCTGCAGGACGGACATGTTGAAGAACAGCTGCCTCTCCAGACACACCTGCCCGCTGCCGCTGCGTCCAGACACCGGGCTGCCTGCAAGACACCAGGAAGACAAGAGCGCGGTGACAAGGCAGCACAAGAACAGAGAACAGAGAACAGAGAACTGGGAGCACAACTGTAAGAATTACAATCTGCTACAACCCATCTTTTCTCCACAGAACACACAACGTGTCTCTGAGTGTGTTGAAGATTTTTAGTGTGACATAAAAAAAACTCAAATTAAAAGATTTCCTCTGAAATCTAAATATTCTCGAGTTTCTTTTGTTCTTGTTGCTGAAGAACATCTTGATCGATAAACCACGACCAGGACACTGAGCCAAACCTTCAAAGAACACAAAACTTTACAGACACAAAGAATATTATTTAAAAAACAACATGTGAACAACTTTAACCTTAAAATAAAAATCTATAAACAAGCAGTGTGTCGATGTCCCCCCCCCC